TTTTTGTTAATTTTATTGCAGTTTTAATTTAAATTCAGCCGTTTAGTGGGCTGCCTATGCTATAATTAGATTGTTGTTGTCGTTGTGTGAAATTTAAATTTCTCCTGCGACATTTTGATTGGATACTAAATATAAACTTTGCTGTGGGCGGAAAGCGATCAGGTTAAGTTTTGTGTCAGGCTCTATTTGTAAAATAGAGCCTGATATTACGAAAGTCACCGAACTGTGGAATCGCATCAAAAATTTGTATATCGACCACTCCCACAAACGTCTACGACCACGCCTACATAGTTTTGCATGTTTACAATTCTAATTTTGAACAGCCAATCAGGTTCTTGGTAATTGGCTGTTTAAAATTAGAATTGTAAACGTGCAAAACTATGTAGGCGCGGTCGTAGACGTTTGTGGGAGTGGTCGATATACGAATTTTTGATGCGATTCCACAGTTCGGTGACTTTCGTAATACTCAGGTTATTGTATTGGTTGCTGTCGTCGTCGTGTTGCCGTCCTATATGCTTAAGCTCCCTAATTAAAGATTTGCAGATTGATCAAAGTGTATGTGCATTGTGAGGGAAAATCTCTAAATTCGAGCACTATACACTTATTTTTTCTGCACTTGGTATGAAAAGCATGTCATTCAATAGCTAAAAGCCTGATCTTTCCAAATATGAAAACCAATTGTTTATACGCCGAGTGATTCACGTATAATAGCGCGCTGAAGTTCGATTACCTTTTTTTATACACCCCGAGGTACGAGGCCGATCAAAAATGTTAGTCAAAATCGCATATTTTCACGTCTGTGCCTAATTAAAACAATGCATAACAAAAGAAAAAGCAATTAATCACTAACGTGTCGTAGCTTAGCTAAGATTTATTCCTACTTAATAATAATTATGAATATGTGCGTAGTTTAATGAAGTGAAATTCATCAACTTAAGTACTAAAGGGAGTTCATTTTCAATGGTTTTAGACCCAACTTACAACGGTGAAAATATGCGATTCTGACTAACATTTTTTATCGGATTCGTATTTGCTTATTTTTTATCCATTTGGCATGAAGAAGATATCATTCAACAGCTAAAAGCATGATCTTTCCGAATGTGTTAAAATCTCGTTCATACGCAGAGTAATTCGGATACAATAGGGCGCTGAAATTCGATTACCTTTTTTTTATACACCCTGCATGTATATTCAAGACACAGACACAGATAGTATACTAACCTTTCCAGCATTGGTCACTCCATAGCTGAAAGTTAAACAGTTCTGTCCTCTTACAAAATCTTTCACAACATCGAGCGTTGTATCTTTAAACAAATTCTCCTGGTTGGTTTCAGGCCCAAACACATGCGAGAAATCAAAGCGATAACTGACCTGCATTCCAGTAGTACGGACATGATTCTTGAAAGAAGCAGAATCTTTCGGTGGTTGAACGACAATGGACGAATCATTCTCCGATTGGAAGCATTCTTGTGACTCACCCGCTATCAACTCTAACTCAGACAATGGTCGAACTCGCAAATACACTTTCATAGGTTCGCTATTGGTCTCTTTCAAAGCTGGCTTCCTTTTCAAAGTTCTTACAAACTTTCTCCGAAGGGTGCACGGACAATCTGCCATTTGCGTTCAAAACCAGCGAGCTTGAAATATATTATTAACCCGAATTCAATGCAAGTTGACCAATCTGGTTTATTTGCGAAATAAACAATCCCTTTTGTCATAAACTTGATTGTTTAAAAAGAATGTAAATCCTGGTTCACACAAGGGACATAAGTGCACAAACATGGCAAGAGAATTTCTATATGCATAGAAGCTTGATTGTGCTTCATGTTGAAACGTGTGTCGCACACTCAACATCCATTTTCTTCTTTGTTTTCCACTTTAAGCCGGTTTTCCACTTCAATCGTAGCGAAGTGTATTTCAGTATTTCTTTGTTTCCGGGGCACTACAGTTGAACTATAATGACTTCGACACAAAACTCAAAAGAAAATGCTACGCTACGCTACGATCTTAGTGGGAAACTGGCTGAAAACCGGCTTTAGAAGACCCTATAGCTTGCAGACAAATTCCAATCATAAGAAAAAGTGTATTGTATATTCTCTTCTGATCAACAATGCAAACCACGATAATAAGCTTTCTTGGGAGCTTTTTACAAACATTTGCCTGCCAGCAAAACGTAACAAGGTATAAGGGGTGTATATACGCATGACATAATTCACAAAGCAAATTGGCGCAATCTGCACCGAATTATTGGATATCGCGTGATGTATTAATGGCCGCCAAGTTGAAGGCACTTTTAAAAGCAAAATAAACTCCTTAACATCTATTATATTTGAAACGTATTTTCCGCCAATATACTCGTCGTTTTTTAGTTTTAAAAATGCTATATGATTGATTGCAACTTATCAAATATACCTCGTTATCTGCAGCATTAATTTTCAATATTATTGTAACACCGACATGCTATGTAGCTACACATTTATAGGATATTTTCTTTGCCACTAATAACGATACAACCCACACTGCACCTGTAGTTCTGTACTATTATATATCCGCTTTTTCGGGCATTGCCTTGTCCCAATGAGAAGACTTATCCCGCTAGGGTCATAGCATTGTTGCTCAGATATGTTCGCCCCATTTCGCAAGATGGCGTCGCAAGAACAGTGTCGAAACCAAACAAATTGCACGTTGTTGTAGTGTTTTTGAAAAAAAGATGGCGCCGGCGACAAGTCAGCAAGTAAATTTCTACATAATCTTGAATATAAACAAATATAAAAAAGTGGCGTGAAATTTGTAAGTTGTAAATTAAACTGGCGACGCTTAGGACGTGGAAGGAAGCATTTTTTAACGATAAGATTTGTTGTCCACACCAACGTTGCACGAATAAAACTACCTTCTTTAACGAAGCAGGTTTAAAACAACATTTATTCATTTTACAAGATTCCGCAGGCCCTCTCGAAATCGTGACCTTCCCATGACAAAACGAGGGCCTGCGAAGGAGCCAGGACCGGCCCAAAAAAAGTTGAAAATATTTCAACTTTTTATTATCCGGCCAGCAACCGCAACGTCACCGGATCCATTGGAACCATTGAAATGATCCGAACCAAAAATTTCTACTGATGGCGCATGCGCGGATCAGTTTGTTTTGTTCCGATCCGGTGCTTATTTTTCGGAGTGGAAATTAGCTGTTAGAGAATGTGGACCTGGGCTGCCCCGGTTAATCGAGAGGATTCTTTTAATTTAATAAAGATGGATAGATAAAACTTTATTTAAACACGCTAACCCATTCAGCATTTGTTGATTTCCAAGGGGGGCGTGATGATAAAATATATACAATAGTGAAATTTACATATTAAATTACACAGTTACATAAATAAAGATATAAAGTTGTATCAAGCCTATAGATTCATTCAACAACCAAACTTTGTTTACAACTACATATTAAGTGCATAACATTTGAGTTGACTGATTCACGAAAGATATAAGAGTGTTATTTAATTTTGACTTATCCCCGTTTAAGCTAAACGGCTCATGATACAACGGCCCCAAGCTAGTATCAGAAATCAACGAATTGAATAGATTTAATGAATCTGCACTTCTTAAATCGCAAGGTAAGCTGTTCCAAAGTTTTGCTCCACTATACCGGATGCTATTTTTCAAGTTTTTTGTTTTGGAGTTTGGTAAGCTTAGTCTGATTCCAGTAACAGTTTAAAATCATTTAAACGATCTTTTATGGTCAGGGAAAATGTTCGTGATACGATTCATCTCACTCAAATGTGTTAACAGCTCCTTAACTCTTAAGGAATGAAAATACTTGCAGCTGAGAGCAGATGTCAGTGAATTACGAAGGACGCAACTCAACCTGATCGAGTCAAAAGCTTACTAATTAAGTACAAAGTAAATTGGGAAACTAGTTTCATATTATTCTACACCACAGAATACAACAAAAATTCATTGGCAAATAAATGTTTCAGTGTCCAAAAGACTTTTACACTTATTTTAAACTATACGAAGAAAATAAGTTAATCTGTGCGTTTTCTCAATATTTAAACGGAAGATTTGAAAATTTATTTCGATAAGAAATTGTACTATTGACTTGCAATTTTTCTCAATTTCCACTATCTGATCCGCCATTTCCTGACAGACTTCTTCTCGTATCTTCATTTCTATGTAAGTCTCTTGCTTTCTTTCTTCGATGAGCTTGCAGTTCCGCGATTATTTTGAGATAATATTCCTAAAGCAATAATTAAATTTCATTGGAATCAGCATCATAACCGTTCTGACATATTCCCGAAGCACCGGTGATATTTCCGAATCCGGCGCAAGCATCTATACAAGTTTTTGTTAATTAAAATCCCAATGAAATATATAAATCTCACAAACCCCTCCCCCCCACAAAAAAAAACCATGGGAAACACGTCTAAAAGAACATCAGAGATATCTAATGAAAAAAACTCATCGGAAACTTTTTTGGTTTTCGATGGTCGAAATTAAAAAAATTATCAAGATTTCACAATTTTTATCTTTAAGATGACGTCATAGAACTAAAATCATACAGATGATGTCGATTATTTAATTAAAGGAGTCCCTTCCTTGGGACTGCAACAGACTGAAAAGGACTGCAACGACCTTTGGAAGTGTTAGTTTACGATCATTGTGTAGAGATACACAACACCGAAAGGGTTACATTGACATCAAATTCAGTGTAACTTAACACCAAATTGGTGTCCAGACAGCTGCAAGAATTCACACCTTTTCTGGTTTTGGAGTAACACTACCAGATTTACAGTGATGTACTATAGCAATAATATCTAACACTCCCTCTTCATCGGCTAACTAAAATCTTATGATGCACATTAGTATTTGAAAAGTGCTTACCAGCTCATCTTGTTGGCCAATCGGATTCGTTGTAGTTGCACCGAAGTCCTATATTTTATTGGCAAGTGCTTACTGCCTCATCTCTTTTATCATCCCCGAAGTCCTATATTTTACAGAAAAACGAGTTTAAGCATAAAGAATACTTACATGAATTAAGGCCGGGCGACCCTCCCTGGTCTATTGTATTTGTTTACACGCGCTAGGGCAAGACATAAAATTACAACAACTTGCCGCTAAAACCTCCCGTTTAGGCGCCATTTTCAAATAAAGTTGGATCACCCTGCATATCCTCCTGATCTGATCCGACACCTGCCTATCTTCCTGATCAGAAGCCTGGCTGTCCTCCACTAGTTCGACTCCCACCGGGGTAGGGCCGTTTGACAAATTTTTCAACCTGCCGGATGTAAATACACACTCGTAAAAATATTACACTACCATAAAAATATAAATATTGTTAATCGTTACATGGTTTGCACCTTCTTGTTCAAGGGACTGCATTGTCCTTTTCTAACCTTTTTATGCAACATGACATCTAAAATTGATCAGTGTGTGTGGTTAATGTACAGTGAAAATCTAATTAATTTAATGTTTACTGAAAGTGTAATAGTGGCGATAAAGCAACATTTTTGTCCTAGCTTAACTATATGTGTGACGAGATTGCATTAATATTTTGATTTTTTAACCTTCATGGATTTTTCACCATAAACGCCGGAGGTGAGAACAATGACGGGACGTCAAGTTAGAACTGACGAACTTTGAGCTATGAGTCATTTACAGTGTTCTGCAGTTATACATTACCTTTTCCATAATTTTAAAAGTATTTTGAACTTCTGTGTCAGTCTGTAAGAAAATTAAAATAACGACCGCGTAAATATGCTTAAATTCGAACAATAAATACAAAATAAATCTCGAGCGCTTTCCGTAAACGCTTCTTGTGATGGAAAAACCCAAGTTAATTAATAACTTAATACTGTTTTTAATTGACCATTTGCGTAATAGACTAAATTTTGATCTGAACAAAAATTTCATCACAACTTGAAGGAGCATCACAAAATTAGTAATATTCCAAAGTTTCGTTGCAAAATGTTGTAAAATGCGGAAAATATAGCCTTGCGAAATTTGCAATTTTCAGTCATTCTAGATTACAAACCGGAAATTGACAGCCTCGAAGGGTTTGGGGCTGTCAACTTCCCGTTTGTAATCTAAAATGACTGAAAATTGCAAATTTCGCAAGGCTATATTTTCCGCATTTTACAACATTTTGCAAAAGAAACTTTGGAATATTACTAATTTTGTGATGCTCCTTCAAGCTGTGATGAAATTTTTGTCTAGACTTGTTTAGATCAAAATTTAGTCTATTACGCAAATGGTCAATTGTTACAATGGTGAATGTCTCATTCATGTATGTACCTTCAATAAAAATTGAAGGTAAAATTCTAATGAATTGGTTCGCACTTTTAACAATTTTAAAGCTTCAGTTACATTTGCGGTGAAAAAATCGGAAGCATTGCTCGTATTGGTCGAAAATTTTTTGAATATTCTTATATTAGTCCGGAAATTTTTTTTTGAAATCCTAGGAAAAGTTGGTCAAAACATGACGAAACCCCCGCAAATTCAAATTTCTGCACAATCAGCGCCCGAGACTTTATAGAACTAATGGCAAGTTATTACTTATTGTTTCACCATGGTTTTGATTTTTTCTTCTCCTGGATAAGTGCTGGTGTAAAATAAAAACAGTTATTGAAGCATTCCCCGTTTAACATTTTAATTAATGAATATACGTTTCACATATATAAAATACTTTATAATTATTGAGTAACCCGGATGCGTTTTACAATGAACAATCAACAACGAACAATCAACAACGAACAATCAACAACGAGCAATTGGTAAGTGTAATTGTATAGGGTGAGCAGAACAGATGTAGAGAGAGTTTGACACAGTACTAAAGGGAAGCACATCAGCACAGAATAATAAAATATATAAAAAGATATCCAAATACGTTATAATATTGTGTCTAAATTATAAAAGAGCTGTCCCCCTAACGGTTAATCAATGTGCAGTGGAAATTTCAGGAGCTATTTATAACAACTTACTGGCCACAAATATCACACTCCTTGTTTCTGCGCTTATGGGTCGATATACCCCTCTGTCCCTTGAAGTGTCTGAAACAAAGAGAAACTTTAAATGAGTCGAGCAATGGAGTAGAGTCAAAACAAAAATAGATGTAGAGAGAGTTTGAAACAGTATTGAAAGGAAGCATATCAGCACAGAATAATAAAATATATAAAAAGATATCCAAGTGTGGTTATAATATTGTGTCTAAATTATAAACGAGCTGTCCCCCTAACGACCCGACGATCCCGCAGACGAGAAAGCAATAACCAATAAAGGGTCGTTTAACAATTGTGACTGAAACATGATTGAATGGCGGAAGGGCATCACCATTGTTATAAAAAATGCAGGCTTGGAGTGAACTAATAAATTGAAATTCATAGCTACCTTTGTCCAGTATAAAAGCACAATCGCGTCTATTATACAACATTATTCTACTACTCCAACGTTTTGGGGCGTGCCCCTTCATCAACGATGAATATCAAAGTCAATGGCCTCATGTCCTTTATATAATCTTGTTAATCACATCAATTAGTCATGATACACGTAAAGCTAAGAGTATGAAGAAGTGCGGAAAATCTAGATGCCAGATATGCTGTTATGTAGAGGAAACGGAAAAATTTGAATATGGAAATAATAAGTATTGGATAAATTATTCCTTTGATTGTGATTCAAAGGGTGTAATTTATTAAGATGTATCAGTTGTTCTAAGATTTATGTAGTGAGAAGTACGATAACATCTTTTAGGAAGAGGTTTAATAACCATGCATAAGAGCTCTATGAGGAAGCTTAAGTATACAAGGGGGCAGAAAAATGGCTGCGGAGCATTTACACGAACATTCTTTTGGCCCTGGGCATAAAGGTGTGGGGGCAACTCAATCATTTATAACTATACAGAATATATCGCCCCAAAATTAACACAATCTATTCGACTTATGAAACAGTATAATGAAAGCATGAAAGTATACTAGAAATAATGTTTTACCTGGTACAAATACACCCAGAAATCTTCATAAACTTCTCGGTCCTGTCTGTCAGTCTGTACCGGCAAAGGACCGCGACGGCAACATGAACTCGTGTTGCGGGAAAATGTTGTTGCTCAGCGCGCAGGTTGTAATGATGGTCGGGCGAGACTTTTCAGAAGACTTTGAATGCAGGAGTCCAAACTCCTCGTTGCATTCGCCGCTTTCTGAAGAAATGCAAATGCAAAGGCAGGATAGATTATTTGCGATTCGTCTCGTTTGTTCGATGGCGGATATGAAAAACAGCAATCAATCGTTTCATCGACATCGCCAGATAGCTCTGCAACAGCTTGACTTGTAGTTTGTCTGAAAGAGAATTAAAATATAACTGTTAATAGAATAATACGAATTGTCTGTGCAAATGTAGCGTAGGTAGTGACGCTATAAAACACCAGAAAAATGCAGATTGCGACGGATTCAACTTCGAGCAAAATATCTTTGATCAGCCTTCGTTCATGAGAGGCCTTCCCTCGAAACGTATTATTTGTATTTTTCAGGGCCGTTAAATCCCTGTCAATCTGCAAGCACTACAGAATAGTACTTGTTTAGGATAAGCGCGACAGAAGAGTAATTTCCTGAAGTTGTTCACGTAGCAAATTAGCTCGTTCACTCTCGTAGCATTGAGCAGGCCAGTTAACGCGGTTTGCCATTCGTCATACTAACCAGTTCGAGTAAAAATCGTTCAACAATAAGCCCGGAGCAACGTGTTTCACTGTTTTATACCCACTGTCGTTAAATTATTCAGCACTTAGCCATGTGTTGAACAAAACCAAAAACTATAACCATGCATGTATAAATTACTTTAGCGGAGTTTCCAAACCATGTTTTGAAAGACTATGCCCAGAAAACCTCGGAAAACATTTTGCCATAATTAATTTGTCCAGTGAGACATCGCATTAAGTTCCGTTTACTTTAGAAATTTACCTTATATTGTCATAATTTGAATGCGTATATATATACTGTACAGGGTGTATAAAAAAAGGAGATCTTTAGAAATCAAGTATATTGTTAAAATTTGAATGCCTTTTCAATTGCACATATGCTGAACCGTTGTGCGTGAAATATTGATGAAGTGCATATATTAGAAAAAGGAGACCTTTAGAAACCAACCATTGTTATAATTTGAATCCTGGAGCACTTTGCTAAGCCCACGCCATGAGTGCGAAACATGCGATCTACTGTACGTACAGTATATGCATGGCAGATTGTTCCCAAGAGCAGACAATCTTTTGTTTAAACGTTATTTCAATTTCTAAAGGACTCCTTTTTCTAATATATGCACCATCAATATTTCACGCACTACGGTTCAGCATATATATGTGCAATTGAAAAGGCATTCAAATTTTAACAATATGCTTGATTTCTAAAGGTCTCCTTTTTTTTTATACACCCTGTACTGTATATATAAGCCGCTATAGCCTATACTGAACCCAAGGGCAATTTGTGTTAATACACAATTATAATCGTATTTTATACATGCATGGTTATTGAAGAGTTTTTGGTTTTGTTCAACACATGGCTAAGTGCTGAATAATTTAACGACAGTGGGTATAAAACAGTGAAACACGTTGCTCCGGACTTACTGTTGAACAATTTTTACTCGAACTGGTAGTATGACGAATGGCAAACCGCGTTAACTGGCCTGCTCAACGCTACGGGAGTGAATGAGCTAATTTGGTACGTGAACAACTTCAGGAAATTACTCTACTGTCGCGCTTATCCTAAACAAGTACTATTCTGTAGTGCTTGCAGATTGACAGGGATTTAACGGGCCTGAAGTAATACGTTTCGAGGGAAGGCCTCTGAGCGAAAGCTGATCAAAGACCTTTTGCTCGAAGTTGAATCCGTCGCAATCTGCATCTTTCTGGTGTTTTATAGTGTCACTACCTACGCTACATTTGCACAGAAGATTCGTATTATTATGTTAACAGTTATATTTTAATCTTCTTTCAGATAAACTACAAGTGAAGCTGTTGCAGCGTCGATGAAACGATTGATGACCGTTCTTCATATCCGCCATCGAACAAACGAGACGAATCGCAAATTTCTGAAAAGTCTCGCCCGACCATCCTTACAACATGCTGAGCAACAATATTTTCCCGCAGCACGAGTTCATGTTGCCGTCGACGATCAGTTTGGTCGACCATTGTCACAGCGAGGATAAAGTTTGAAGAAGACTACTGAAGTACTTCGCTTCGGGCGTTCCTTTGCCACAGACTGACAGACAGGACCGAGAACTTTATGAAGATTTCTGGGTGTATTTGTACAAGGTAAAACATTTCTAGTATACTTTCATGCTTTCGTTATACTGTTTTATAAGTCGAATAGAACTTAAATCTATATTTGTGTTAATTTTGGGGCGATATATTCTGTATAGTTATAAATGATTGAGTTGCCCCCATGCAGTGCTTTGCGACTGAACTTAATATTAAACATCGTACATATACTAGGAAATCCATCAGGATTTCTAAAAAACGCCATGTATATATATATTACTTTGAATTCACGAAAAAGCTTTTCAACTGCGCTGAAAGCTTTCTATATTAATGTATTCAAGTAGAAAAAGTGCACCATTTTTCACGTCTACGTCGATCCGTTTTTTGAGTATACTTTCAGAATATTTTAGAATATTTTATATTCATCATTACAGAAAGCACTGCCAGTCAGCTTAGATATAAGAAATTGGGGGAAAGTGTAGTAAAACGTTGCCAATGCTAAGAATAAAAACGTGGATCTTGCATAGCTTTAAGAAAAATATAGACTGTTAATTAGGTAGGATGATTGGATTCCTAGTCCGAATCATATAAGACGCTTGGAAGGTATACTTGGAAGGTATACTTGTCTGCCATTTACGTGCAAGCTCTACGCTGTATAATTATAAATATAACTTCGCGCCAAAGCCCAAAGGGCCTTCGCTTAAAAAGCCGGTTTTCCTTGTACTTTCATCCCAACCAATCATCATTCTTTGGCACTCTACCCACAATGGCACAAGATTAAAAGTATTTCTTAAAAATGTGGTCTTTTACTTTTTTCACAGCGAGATGTTATGCAAGACCTTTGTTAGATTGATGAATGTCGAAAGTTTTCAAACTTTGCTGATAAACGACGCCGTTTGTGAAGAAGTTCTGAAATGTACATGCATCTTGCAGCTTATTCCCTCCCATGATGTATGCGCAGGAGAATTTGACTTGGATGTTGTTATTGAGGTGCCGCAGGAATACGCTTTTCGAGTTGGTGAACTGAAAAACTTGTTTCAATATCGCAAAGACGATTCCATGACAACACTGTACATGCATTTGTGTCGTATGAATGCCTTTCATTACCGATCTGAGCATTTTGCAGAGGAAATCTAAAATTAATTCTGTTACAAACTACTTATCTGACTTTGGACTGAGATTGAAGTGTTTTCTTCTGTAACCAATTCCTGGCCTTCGACAAATGGATGTAATGAATTATACGCCTATATTAGTGAAAACATTGAATGGAAATGAGAAATTATGGTACGAAGACAGATCAGGTAATAATTGATATCATTGTGCTGTTCACTTAAAGTACTACCTCCTTTTTAAAGTTAAACGTTTTTTTCTTAGTTGATTATATAATTTAAACTGCTGTATTGAAATCCTTCTTTTATTAACCAATGTAATAAATTAAATAATATATAACTTATTTCTTAGCTTTGGTTGTCGTTGTTGCGCGTTTCTACGGGGCATGATTTTAATGTTGTTTTCTGTTTTTATTTTTTAAGTCGATCTAACTCTGACTGGACATGCACGCAGTTGTGTCATTCTAGCTCCTCAATTGGATGAGGAAAGGTATGTCTGTTTTATTTGATATATTTGAGTGCTTGGGGATGTTTTAACCATGAGTTGATTCCATAGGTTGATTCCAGTTAAACTAAACTAGTAAAATGTTTGTGATGTTGCTCTGAGTCAGCCTGGACCTAGCCCTTCTATTGTTTTAAATTCAGCGCATTCTCGTACCCAAATCCCTTCTTACGCGCGTTCGACCGAGCGCGATGAGGGGCTCTAGTACATTTGATACCATAATCATAAGAACACATTGGTATCGAAAGTACTAGAACTAGTTCCTAAATCATATCACACACACTCGAACCGACTTGATCTCGTAACATTGGACCAGCATCCCAAAGGTCATGGGTTCGATTCCAAGGGTGCTCAGGCTGCCCGGTGTGGGTCTACAGTTAGAGAAGTTAGAGTGACATCACGAACATTCTACTTCCTGAGTACACAACAACAGTTAGAGTGACATCACGAACATTCTACTTCCTGAGTACACAACAACAACATACAAAGCACACAAAACATATCGTGAACTAATAAAGTAAAGCGAAATAGCTATGTCCATCTTTAAGTCAAAATAAATGAACGAAAAGTAGGCCTATCTGGTAAATTTAGTAAACGTCTCTTCTTTAATTCCAGATTATCTTGCATCAATTCTTACAACCTGGCTCCAAAGATGACCATTCTGATTCTTCTGATGTCACCATGAAGATAGAACCGATTACGAAACGGACCGCTTTCCTCTACAACAGAGTCGTCAATATGTACTAGCTAAATATCCAACGTCGATGTTATCTTCAATGGGTGATAAAGCAAGAAGCATTAAAGACAAATATCAATGTTCCCTTGGGCAAGTTTTGAGTTATTTTTCATTTCTGTTTACATATATATAATATTATACGTGCGTGTGTGTCATGGTATGTTGTGTGCATATGTTTGTGTCTTCGTAAACAGCTAAGTGCGTGGTCAGTTTCAGATGTAGTGCGACTTCATTTTAAAATTTATTTGCTTGCAATTTTACGTCTGCATCTCATTTCGGTTTCCCAGTTACGCCAAAATGTTTCTAGGGCATTTGTTTGAAATTTCCGTCCATCAAAACCCTATAACATTGTGCCAGCATGTTGCTTTTTGTCTTTGAATATGGGTTATTTGTAATGGTCTCCTAGAAATACATGCATGCAACACCTGTTTGCATTTCTTTTCCTAATAAATGCATGCTCGCGTCATGTCAACACCTGCCAACTGCTACACGATCATTGTTTCCCTTTTACAATTTTTCATTTTTTGTGCAAAACGGCAAAAAATAAAGTATAACACTTTTAACTATAGAACTATCAATTTCTACAATTTAAACTAGGTTTATGATATTTCATACTCTATAATAAAAACCCCTACGTAAACCCCTCGATGAGCTTCATAGCTCTTGGGCAAACGTCATTAATAAATATATACGTTTAAATAAAAAAAAAAATTCAACCTCTGACACTTAAAACAGTAGGCCTATGAAATGTTCATTTAGGTAATTTATAATATACGCATGCAGTTTCATATTTGTTTGGCTTTTTTGCCGATTTAGCTTTTTATTAGTTGCAACGAAATCAGTTCAAATTGTAGGCTACAGTTCGCTCTTGGAAGGCCAAATGATAATCTCATATTTGTTCTTTTGAGTTTCTTTTGGTTGCTTTGTTTCATTTTTGGAAAACGTTAGTGGCAGGAAATATGTCGTTCATTCTGCGTATAGAAAGGCAAGTTCTTGTATTTCTAATTTCTTAAAATCTGTCAAGTGGCCAACTTTGTTGCTAGGAAACCACAAAGATTAGGAGGTGAAGCAGATGGAATGTTTTCATTTTTATTCGATAGAAATATCAACTTATCTTGGAAGCATATTTTTTGGTTATGAACACTGGTAGCTATATGATGAATATGACCTTGCCCTTACCTCTGGTTGTTTATGTCCTTCGCCTCCTACTTGTTGAAAATTTAAATAATATCATTGCCAATTGAAGTAAAGACAACATCTTAACATCTTTAACTCTACCACAGACTTGCATCATTGCATAGATTATCTATTTCATCCTCTAAAATAATGTAAATTATAAATATTACAGGCGGTAATGTAAAAATAATTCTGGCCTCAGAACTTTCCACTCGAATGCGTGTCGTCATGCAGTGGAACCATAGTAGGCCTGTATAGGGGAAATTAGATTTGATTTCACGTCACATCGAATAAATTGTTCATATATACGGGCTCCATTCTACAGGCGTTGATGCACTTTTCTATAATAAATTGAAGACTAGCGTCCCTTTGGTTGCTACAATCGCAAAAATTATCATCACCAACGAGTGTTTTACATTCTCCAAAGCGTGAAGTGTTCAGTTAAAAGCATGCAGATGCCAATCGGATTGACAGCCACGATTATCGAAGCCTTTCCTTTCCCGGAGAAAAAGCCTTGAAACAATCGCGTCAATTTCTTCTCAACTAGACTCGCAGGGGTTGGGCTATTGCCAAAAATAAAAACATTGTATAAGATAATAGATCTCTGCAATCTATATGTAGCTTTTCTAGGTATTCGAATATGATCCCATTAAGGGGGTTCTCATTTTATGCAACTAGCTACCAGTGAGCGCGGGAACAATGTGCGTATGCAGAAATTGCAGGTTATGAAAATTCTCTGAACAATTGTTGATAAAAAGGCCTAGTTTTTTTTTGTATCTTCTGGATTAAAAAAAGAAAAATATAATAAAAAGAAACGAATGTATCAGCAAATTAAATTTACCATACTATTTGTTTTGAGTTTTACACCTAATTATTAACATTATAGATAAAAATATGCGTTGCATCATTAGGTATAAATAAATTATATTTACTGATCTATATTTGTATTTTATCTATTTACCGTTGTGGCCTCTAACGTGCAGATTAGATTTCCTCGTCCACAAAAAAGAAGCAAATCATATAATTACTGTACTTCATTTTGGTACATCATCAAGACATTTCGAGATTGGCAGTTAGCAGCTAGCACATGTAACACATGCATAGTAGCAAATCGGTAACGTAATCTTGGCTCGTCATCCGAGACCTTGTAGCTCAATGGTTGAACCAGCCATTACACAAGACAAGGCGACGAAGCAACACACAATGAATCGCAAATTGTTCATTTCCCTTTGTATAATATCCACTTCCCGCAAGGCAGAATTATCTTTAATTGACACGGTGTTTAACCAGTCTTTTTTGGCGCCTTTGGTTTGACGATTACTCTTATAAGAAAAGTAACTCCTATTTTACCTGACATGGTTGCACATATTTTCGATATAGCTTCATTTTCCCGACTGCTGCATCAGTAAAACAAATATATCGCATATAGTAATGGTAGTAGTGGTATAGTAGTAATGCTAATAATAATATTGGTGGTGGTGGTGGTGGTGGTGGAGCTGTCTCTCAATATTTTCACTGACAAAACCGGCGAGTTAATGTTTCGACGTTTGTATAACTTTTCGCCATGGTGCGTAGGGTGCACTCATTTAGCTTTCTTTTTAGTGCAACGATACACTCCTGTTGTTCGTCACACTTTGCCCGGCAAGCGTTCTCATCACTCCTCACCTAAAATGATCAAAATATCTGACGACCTTTTTTATGTGGGGAATTTATGACACGATTTTTCTACCCAGAGGAGGAATGAAGTCTTCCCAAAATGCATTGCGTGGTGTCATGATCAAGGGTTCTGGAAGTCGATGGGTTACCTGTAGTTGCTGCTTGGCATGGCAGTCGTGTCTTGACTTTCTGTTCCACCTCATCTATTGGAGGGGAACCAGACCTTTCCACGAAGTAGCATTTTCGTTTCTACTATGCCTTGGTGGCATTAGTGTGCAAGATCTATGGCTTGGCTTTGCAGTGATTAATCCATGACAGACAGTTCGTCCGTCCCTTACGTTGACAAACGGTTTCACTTCAGGATCGAGATGGGTCGATTGCTGCAGAAAGCAATGTTTCCTTTGATTCCGAATTGCATAACTATCTCCTCTTCTGTGATAGCCTCAGATAATCTGCGGCCATGATTATTAGCACTGATGAAATAAAATAAAACTACAGTACAAAAAAAGAAATAAGTTTACCTGATCTTCCTGGTCCATATCCTGTAGGAACTAATCTTCCTGGAATTAATGTTTATTAAACACTGAATGTTAACATTAATCAGAAATACAAGTAATCCTTACCTTAGTGTGAGTAGTGTCAAAACAAAAATATTAGAGGTAATCTGATTGTTAACTATGGTTAACGTCGTCCTTGGCTTGTTCAATTTCCTGTAGAAATAATTTATTTAATTATCATGCATGAGGTGTGCTGGATCAGCTTAACTGAATCGGCTGTATTAAAAAATAAACCATAGGTTACTTACCATTTCTTTCAGCTTTTTTGAGCAGCCTTTTTACTCTTTTACCTTTTTCCTCAATTTCCTGTGGTCGAAATAATTAAATAAATTATCATGCATGAGGTGTGCTGGATCAGCTTAACTGAATCAGCTGTATTTTAAATAAACCATAGCTTATGCTGACCAGATGACAGAAGCCTGTTAATGTGGTCATTAGCTTGTTCAATTTCCTGTAAAAATAATTAAAGAATCATGCATGAGGTGTGCTGAATCAGCTTAACTGAATCGGCTGTATTTTAAAAAATAAACCATAGGTTACCTACCATTATGCTGACCAGATGACAGAAGCCTGTTAATGTGGTCATTAGCTTGTTCAATTTCCTGTAAAAATAATTAAAGAATCATGCATGAGGTGTGCTGAATCAGCTTAACTGAATCGGCTGTATTTTAAAAAATAAACCATAGGTTACCTACCATTATGCTGACCAGATGACAGAAGCCTGTTAATGTGGTCATTAGCTTGTTCAATTTCCTGTAAAAATAATTAAAGAATCATGCATGAGGTGTGCTGAATCAGCTTAACTGAATCAGCTGTATTTAAAAAAATAAACCATAGGTCACTTACCATTATGCTGACCAGATGACAGAAGCCTGTTAATGTGGTCACGTTGACCAGATTTTAATGTGATTGCTTCAGAAAGCAATCCTTGGAGTAAACTAAGAAATTGAAATTTATAGCTACCTTCGTCAAGTAAACATACATTATCCATAATTTGGTGGTTTCTTCGTCTGCAAAAAAAAATAAACCAAATGTGAATAAATCATAATTTAACTCTCTTTTTTTTTAAGAGTACTGATATGTGAGCATATAGTATATAAATAATAAACTTGCAAAACTAAGAATTGCAAAATGAATTTCTTAGGAAATTTCGAGGTTGCGTTTCACTTCCGAGTAACGGGCGGAGGTGTGCAGTCTCTGAGTGTCCTTTACGTACTTATTGTTTCGTACCAGTGGTGTCAATGGTGGATATTTTGGACATTTTTCTGTCTGCGTAAAGTATATATATATATATATATTTTAAACACTGAATGTTAACATTATAAATCAGGAATACAAGTACCTATCTTACACTTCTCGTTTCTACGCTTGTGCGTAGCAACGCCGCCTGGTCCTTTGAAGTTTCTGAAACAAAGAGAAACTATAAGTCGAAACTAAAATAATTAAATAAATTATCATGCATGAGGTGCGCTGAATCAGCTTAACTGAATCAGCTGTATTTAAAAAAATAAACCATCGGTTACTTACCATTATGCTGACCAGATGACAGAAGCCTGTTAATGTGGTCACGTTGACCAGATTTAATGTGATTGCTTGATATGTGAGCATATAGTATATGCAGTGAAAATTTCAGGACCTATTTATAACAACTTACCCTTTACATATCTCACACATTGTTCTAAATTATCATGCGTGAGGTGCACTGAATCAGCTGTATTTTTAAAAAATAAACCATAGGTTACTTACCATTTCTTTCTGCTGATATCAGCAGCCTTTGGATAGTTTCTTTTTTTTGTTCCATTTCCTGTGGTTTTTAATAAAATTAAAATTTAAATAAATAAATTATGCATGAGGTGCGCACTAATTATAATTATAATTATTATATGCCATATGGTGATTGATTCCTTTTGGCCAAAATAATTATCAGCATACCACTGACTTTCTTGAATTCTGAAACATGCATGGTGCATTCCCTTCAACACCCACCCTATAATTGTGTTTTTGCATCGCAAACTTTCTTCTCACCTTCGTCTATAGTATAAATCATTTTAATTTATAATTTTATAAGATTATACGTATACGGATCACGTATCAACTGAATATCGCACTATTCTGTAAATTCAAAATGTAATGCGATTGATAAAATAAGAACGCCTCTATATTTCACATATCTGAAAAGGTTAAAATTATATCTGGGCAAAAAAGGAAATATTTCAATTGGAGACGAGCGAGAAATCCATCGTGCTTTTCGCAAATAAAAAAGATTTGACTTTGAAAGGCCCACCTCAGCTAACAGAATCGGCTGTATTTTTAAAAAATAAACCATGGGTTACTTACCATTTCTTTCGGGAGATTTCAGCAGCCTTTCGATAGTTTATTTTTTGTTCCATTTCCTGTGGTTAAAATAATTAAATAAATTATCATGCATCAGGAATACAAGTACCTATACCTTACAATCGTCATTTTTTTCTTTTATGGGTGGCTACGCCAACCGGTTCCTTGAACCAACTGAAACAAAGAGAAACCCCTTACTTGTTGAAAATTTAAATAATCGGTTGATTGCAGCAGAAAGCAATGTTTTCCTTAATTCCAAATTGCGTAACTTATCTCCTCTTCTGTCTCGGATAATCTGCAGCCATGATTATTAGCACCGGTGGAATAAAATAAAAATACAAAACAAAAATCTTCCTGGTCCATATCCTTCAGATCTTCCTGGTCCATATCCTGTAGGAACTGAGCTTCCTGGAACTAATATTTATTAAACACTGAATGTTAACGTTAATCAGGCATACAAGTAATACCTACCTTACACTTCTCGTTTCTTCGCTTATGGGTCGCTATATCCCTGCGTCCCTTGAAGTATCTGAAACAAAGAGAAACTTTAAATGAGTCGAGCAATGAAGTTGTGTCAAAACACAAATATTAGAGGAAATCTGATTGACCAATCGTTGTCCATGTTGTCCATCTCCTCTGTCTTCATGTGCTTCATTTCTTCTTCCGTATTAGTCTCCCTATCACCCTGCATATCCTCCTGATCTGATCCGACACCTACCTATCTTTTTAATCAGAAGCCAGCCTATCCTCCACTTGTTCGACTCCCACCGTGGTTAGGGCCGTTTGACAAATTTATCAACCTGCCGGATGTAGATACACACTCGTAAAAATATTACACTACCATAAAAATATAAATATTATTAATCGTTACCTGGTTTGGACTTCGTCTGCAAGGGACTGCATTTCCTTGGGACTGCAACAGACTGCAAAGGACTGCAACGACCTTTGGAGGTGTTAGTTTACGATCATTGTGTAGAGATACACCAACACTGAAAGGGTTACATTGACATCAAATTTAGTGTAAGTTAACACCAAATTGGTGTCCAGACAGCTGCAAGAATTCACACCTTTTCTGGTTTTGGAGTAACACTACCAGATTTACAGTGATGTACTATAGCAATAAATATCTAACACTCCCTCTTCATCGGCTAACTAAAATCTTATGATGCACATTAGTATTTGAAAAGTGCTTACCGGCTCATCTCTTTGATCACTTGGATTTCCGTCATCCCCGAAGTCCTATATTTACAGAAAAACAAGTTTAAGCATAAATAATACTTAGGGTCTGTTTACATGAATTAAGGCCTGGCGACCCTCCCTGGTCTATTGTATTTGTTTACACGCGCTAGGGCAAGACATAAAATTGTACAACTTGCCGCTAAAACCTCCCGTTTAGGCGCCATTTTCAAATAAAGTTGGTTTATCGACCACGCATCAGACTTTAATTCAAATTGCGTAACTTATCTCCTCTTCTGTGATAGCCTCGGATAATCTGCAGCCATGATTATTAGCACTGATGAAATAAAATAAAAATACAGAACAAAAATCTTCTTGGTCCATATCCTTCAGATCTTGCTGGTCCATATCCTGTAGGAACTGATCTTCCTGGAACTAATATTTATTAAACACTGAATGTTAACGTTAATCAGGAATACAAGTAATACCTACCTTACACTTCTCGTTTCTTCGCTTATGGGTTGCTATACCCCTACGTCCCATGAAGTATCTGAAACAAAGAGAAACTTTAAATGAGTCGAGCAATGGAGTTGTGTCAACACAAATATTAGAGGAAATCTGATTGACCAATTGTTGTCCATGTCGTCCATCTCCTCTGGCTTCATGTCCTTCATCTCTTCTTCCGTATTAGCCTCCCTATCACCCTGCATATCCTCCTGATCTGATCCGACAACGGCCTATCTTCCTGATCAGAAGCCTGCCTATCCTCCACTAGTTCGACTCCCACCGTGGTTAGGGCTGTTTGACAAATTTATCAACCTGCCGGATGTAGATACACACTCGTAAAAAATATTACACTACCATAAAAATATAAATATTGTTAATCGTTACCTTATTTTCAATTCTTCTTTCAGAGATTGCACTTCTTTGTCAATTTTTTCTATGTATTTGGCCATCTAAAATTGATATTACTACCATAGAAATATAAATATTGTTAATCGTTACCTGGTTTGGACTTCGTCTGAAAGGGAGTGCATTTCCTTGGGACTGCAACGAACTGCAAAGAACTGCAACGACCTTTGGAGGTGTTAGTTTACGATCATTGTGTAGAGATACACCAACACTGAAAGGGTTACATTGACATCAAATTCAGTGTAAGTTAACACCAAATTGGTGTCCAGACAGCTGCAAGAATTCACACCTTTTCTGGTTTTGGAGTAACACTACCAGATTTACAGTGATGTACTATAGCAATAATATCTAACACTCCCTCTTCATCGGCTAACTAAAATCTTATGATGCACATTAGTATTTGAAAAGTGCTTACCGGCTCATCTCTTTGATCACTTCGATTTCCGTCTTCCGCGAAGTCCTATATTTTACAGAAAAACAAGTTTAAGCATAAATAATACTTAGGGTCTGTTTACATGAATTAAGGCCTGGCGACCCTCCCTGGTCTATTGTATTTGTTTACACGCGCTAGGGCAAGACATAAAATTGTACAACTTGCCGCTAAAACCTCCCGTTTAGGCGCCATTTTCAAATAAAGTTGGTTTATCGACCACGCATCAGACTTTAATTCAAATTGCGTAACTTATCTCCTCTTCTGTGATAGCCTCGGATAATCTGCAGCCATGATTATTAGCACTGATGAAATAAAATAAAAATACAATACAAAAATCTTCCTGGTCTATATCCTTCAGATCTTCCTGGTCCATATCCTGTAGGAACTGATCTTCCTGGAACTAATATTTATTAAACACTGAATGTTAACGTTAATCAGGAATACAAGTAATACCTACCTTACACTTCTCGTTTCTTCGCTTATGGGTCGCTATACCCCTACGTCCCATGAAGTATCTGAAACAAAGAGAAACTTTAAATGAGTCGAGCAATGGAGTTGTGTCAACACAAATATCAGAGGAAATCTGATTGACCAATCGTTGTCCATGTCGTCCATCTCCTCTGTCTAAATGTCTTTCATCTCTTCTTCCGTATTAGCCTCCCTATCACCCTGCATATCCTCCTGATCTGATCCGACACCTACCTATCTTCCTGATCAGAAGCCTGCCTATCCTCCACTAGTTCGACTCCCACCGTGGTTAGGGCTGTTTGACAAATTTATCAACCTGCCGGATGTAGATACACACTCTTAAAAATATTACACTACCATAAAAATATAAATATTGTTAATCGTTACCTTATTTTCACTTCTTCTGTAAGAGACTGCACTTCCTTCTGCAGTTTCTCTATGCATTTTGCCATCTAAAATTGATATTACTACCATAGAAATAGAAATATTGTTAATCGTTACCTTATTTTCAATTCTTCTTTCAGTGATTGTAATTCTTTATCCATTTTTTCAATGCATTTTGCCATCTAAAATTGATATTATTACCATAAAAATATAAATATTGTTAATCGTTACCTTATTTTCACTTCTTCTGTAAGAGACTGTACTTCTTTTCCCACTTTATCAATGCATTTTGCCATCTAAAATTGATATTACTACCATAAAAATATAAATATTGTTGATCGTTACCTGGTTTGGACTTCGTCTGCAAGGGAGTGCATTTCCTTGCGACTGCAACGAACTGCAAAGGACTGCAACGATCTTTGGAGGTGTTAGTTTACGAACATTGTGTAGAGATACACCAACACTGAAAGGGTTACATTGACATCAAATTCAGTGTAAGTTAACACCAAATTGGTGTCCAGACAGCTGCAAGAATTCGCACTTTTTTTGGTTTTGGAGTAACACCAGATTTACAGTGATGTACTATAGCAATAATATCTAACACTCCCTCTTCATCGGCTAACTAAAATCTTATGATGCACATTAGTATTTGAAAAGTGCTTACCGGCTCTTGGCGTTGTGTTGCAATGCCAATGGGCAATGGGACTTGTTGCACCACTGTCCTGCTTTTTCCAGCAGCCTAACGATTTTGGTTTCTTTTTCTTCAATTTCCTGTGGTTGAAATAATTAAATAAATTATCATGCATGAGGTGTGCTGAGTCAGCTGGACTGAATCGGCTGTATTTTAAAAAATAAACCATAGGTTACTTACCATTTCTTTCAGGTCTTTTGAGCAGCCTTTTCACCCTTTTACCTTTTTCCTCAATTTCCTGTGGTTGAAATAATCAAATAAATTATCATGCATGATGTGTGCTGAATCAACTGAATCAGCTGTATTTTAAAAATAAACCATAGGTTACTTACCATTTCTCTTCGCTCTTTCCAGAAGCCGATCTATCCGGTCCACCTTTTCCTCAATTTCCTGTGGTTGAAATAATTGAATAAATTATCATGCATGAGGTGCGCACTAATTATAATTTCTGTATATAATGCAATAATACTGCGGCATTTTGACTACTGTATATTCACGTTTGGGATATAGGTAACGCCTACCCGTTTGGAAAGCTTTAAATAATGCAAAACAGGGCCTCTAGAGTCATCACTGGTGGCCAATGATAGAAGGAAGGAATGAAGACAAGGCAATATGTTAGTGCATAAAGTTACAAAAGGCGAATATTTAGGAAAGATCACAAATATGTTCAAAGAGGAAGATAACGAATGTTACAATTTATCGAACAGTTTTCCTTTATTAAAATCGCTTATTCGGGTGCAAAAATCTGGAACAAATTACCCACTCAGGCCATCCAAACACGGAAACCATAAAGTAATTGTATATTACAATAAACTATACTGAAGATTGGTTTTGTATCAAAACAACCTGAACAAGATCGATATATCAAAGACAAAGTATATGAAGCGACACAAGAGTTTGAATCACAAATTGCGTTCTATTTGTGTAATACCCAACTTTCCCCGCAAGGCAGATTAATCTTTAGTCGACACCAATCTTTCTTGGTGGTATACGCTACGAATTATTTCTCATTTCTCAATATCTAATTTCGTTTCGTACCTCTTGCATTTGTTCTCATGCCCCCAAGGCCATGAACTGTAGGTAATACCCTTAAAAATAACATAATACCCCTTTAATTTAACATAACGCGTTTAGCAATGGAGTCGGTGTACAAAAGCAAAAATTGGAAGAACTCCAATTGAGAAACCGTCGCACAGTTCCAATAAGGATAGTTTCAAATAAAAAACAAAACAAATTAACAAAACACATGAATGACAATTTAGCTTTGAATGAAACAATTATTGACCAGTCAGAAATAGAATTTTAGAATTTCACAAGCCACCACAGCAACATACATATACAAAATAATGCAGTTCTTGATATAAAAAACATCAACACATGTCCAGACTTGCAGTTAGCAGTACACATGTAACACACAATAGTAAATAACGTAACCTTGGCTCATCATCCGGGACCTTATAGCTCAATGGTTAGACCACTTGTAGCCATAATTACACAAGACAAAGCGGATGAAGCGATACAAGAGCAAAAATCACAAATTGCGTTCTATTTGTGTAATATCCAACATCCCCCGCAAGATAGATTAATCTTTAATCGACATCAATCTTTCTTGGTGGTATACGCTACGAATCATTTATCATTTCTCAATTTCCCAAGGCCATGAACATTTGGAAAACCCTTTATACGCTACGAATCATTTATCATTTCTCAATTTCCCAAGGCCATGAACATTTGGAAAACCCTTAAAAAATAATAAAAACATAACGAGTTTAGCAAAAATAATAAAAACATAACGAGTTTAGCAATTCGGAGTCTTGAATTCTTCTTACTTCTTGCTTGCTATCCTAACAACAAAACAAATAATAAAAACATAACGAGTTTAGCAATGGAGTCTTGAATTCTTCTTACTTCTTGCTTGCTATCCTAACAACAAAACAAATTAAAGACAAATGTTCTGATATGCACTGTACTTATAGTTAAATGGTGAAAAATCTACAAGCGCCCGTTTTGTGTTTACCTAGTAGTTCCTTTCGCATGCGGAAAATGCGCCTAGCCCTATATAGTTGATGTGCAACTGTAGTGTTGTAAGACTCGATAGAACGCGATGAACGCGTGCTATAGTGATTGTGAAGTATATATTGGATACTGATTATAGTTATTCCTATTTGGATTAGTCATTAGCATATGAATTAGCTATATTACATCTCTCCCCACATTCCAGGTTAGTATAGGTTCTCTGTACTTCACGTTACATGTTATTCAAAATGTCTCCTAGCTCTGCCCGAAACGACAATAGGAATTTAAACTTGAAACTGTTAACATGCAATATGTGTCTATAGTCATTGATAGTTCAATGTTCAAATCCAAGTCTATTTGGTTGTCTTCTTTCTCGCTGGGATCTTCGTAAATGAACAGGTTCTTGATTGTGTTGGTCTACGTTGGTTCGGTCGCAATCAAAATCGTCGTCATCATCTTCGTCATCTGAACTATCAGGCGTTACACGATTATCAATCTTTTTGAAGGATATTTGCATGTTATCTTCTTCGAGCCACGTTTGACGGTAACTATAGTTCCTTTCCGAGCTTCAACAGTAAATGGTTTGGGGTTAACGGTGGGGTAAGCTTGTTCTTCTTCGGTTGGCGGATCAGGACTGTGTCTCCTATCTTCAGATCAGTTGTTTTCGAGTGTTGTCGATCTGAGTATTTCTTCATCTTTTCTTTCTTTTCTTGATATCGTTTTCGCATTGGATCTTGGGTTTCTTGATGCGGAGTTTTTGGAATACTCTGAAGTGGTATCTTCAACTTTCGATTTTTCAGGGCCTCGGATGGTGACACATTTGTCGTGCTGTGCTTCGTTGAATCACAGATCGCTTTCCCTTTATATCATATATCACCTTTTACCCTTTGGCTTTCTCACAGAATGAACTATGACAATGTCCTAGCGAAATTGCTCTGAAATGGTTCAGTGGTTTATAAAGAACTATATATTATATATTATTATTATTATAAAAGGCTTTAATATATAAATTACTAATATCGAAAATATATATTTCACGAAACTAAAAGCTGAAACTGCATGTAGTAAAATTGTTCATTGACCAAAAGCAGTTCAATCAAATACAGTGGCATTGGCCAGTGCCAAAAATATTTCTAGAACAGTTTCTGAACATTTTTGAAACGTTTTACCCATAAAGAATTTCACATTAAATTTTCATGAAGCATTCAAATTGTTTTTAGACTCTGAAATTGATATATCCATAGTGAAGTGCCATTCCCTTTATTTTTGCCATTTAGCACAAAAAATATGATTAAATGCTTATATTGATACAATTTTCTCGAGTTCAAGTGCAGATGTTATGTCAAAAAAGAGCGAGGGTTGCTGCATGCATATGTATTTCTAGTCGAAATTTGATTTGCCGAAATTGATGAAGACGCTATAAATTTTCGCAGTTCATATATGAAGTACGCCGTCCGAAATATGACCAAGTAGCTAGTATTAAAAATAAAAAGGCTTTGTTGGTTTTCGTGTGATTTGATGTGAACGTTTTGTGTGTCAATACTTGTTGTGATCAGGGGCCGCGGAACGGGGGAAGCAATAGGGGGCCATAGGGGCATTTGCCCCCCCCCCAACTTAAATGCTAAAGTGTCTCATTTGAAGAACGAAAAAAGCATTTACTGAATGAACGCCTTTTGCTGGAAAGGAAGTGCCCTCAGTTTGAAATGTAAATGTGAAGACTTTGTAAAGGCCATTTCCGACGTAATAAAAGAGTCCATATTTTAAAAAATGTTCGTTCGGGTAGTGAATGACATTAAAATGTTTGATTTTTGTCATATACAAAAGTGCCCTTTTTTGGGCAATACCTCCTCCCCCAATTTCGAAATGCTTTCGCGGCCTCTGGTTGTGACCTTTGTAATTATATGTTTAATTGTGAAGTCTGTGTTAGTTTATTTCATCATCACTGTTGTAGCTCTTCTTGCTTTCAGTACAGTATACGTATTGAAAAGGTGCATATATGCACATCGTCCCTTTCAATTCTTCTTTGTATGTAACGTTTTTTTGTGTTTGTCTTTAAACTGCATTCTTTTCCAATGAAGTTTGCAATACTTCCCTGCCCAAGGGAACTTTATACTATCATGTAGAAAAGTAATATCTTTCATACCAAGTACGATACAAATCTAGAACCTTTCGTAGAATATATAATTAACTTAAAATTTGTATTTAAATACAATATTATAAGAACCGTCAAAGGGACAGACAATAGATCATTTAGTCGATGCAAATCCTATATCACTAATAGAGTTGAATTCTAGTGCGATTGTAAGTAAGCTATGAATGAAAAACAAATAAAATTCTAATAGTTGTAAACGTGTTTGAAAATACGTGTGTGTTTATTATCTTACCATAGAACCCAAAATTACAGCACATGTAGAATGCACTAAATGTTAATTTTAAATAAGTTCGCCCCATTCCTCTGAGACCTGTCGTGTTTCGCAAGGAATCGCCAAAGCATATAGTCTATCAAAGGGAAGATGGTTTGGAAACTCGTTAGAATAACAACTAATCTATGCTACACGTAAAAATCTCGCATCTTGTAACAAGTCTGCCAACAAGCCGTCAACAAGGTGTATTCACACTACTTGTCACAAGTTGTCAACAGGTTTGGATCAACTTGTTGGTGACAACTTGTTACAACCTTGTCGGAATTATCAGACTTTTGCAACGTTGTTCTGACAAGTCCGTTACATGCTTGATATAACAAGATTGTTACAACCTTGTGTTGACAACCTTGTAACATCCTTGTGTTATATCATGGCTGTAACAAACTTGTTAGCACAGTATTGTAACAAGGCTGATAATGCCATCAAGCTTGTTACAACAAACTGGGAACAAGCGATGCGAACACAACTTGTTGCCAGCTTGTGAATAGACTTGCAACAGCTTGTGCGTTTTCATGTGTGTAGTCAACGTTCATTCATAAGTCTGCATGGTCCTTCACCATCACATGTGTATTGTGTTTTTTCCACCAATAGCAATTTCCAACTTACCCTATTGTCCGAGTCCTGGATAGGTAACTTTCCTAAAACATTGATATTTGGTTAGTTGGGAAAAAATACAATACACACGTGACGGTAAAGGACTGGTTTATGAATAAACATAGGGCGCTTTCATTAACACGGCCAGACCGGTCAGAACGGTCAAATTGTTGAATGGAACAAAACATTTGGGCTTCGGAGCTATTTCCGGAAAATTTACATAACATTAGAATGAGGTCATTTTCGCTAGCTATTTGAGAAACATAAACCAGATCTTTCCTTTGATACAGAGAAAAGAATTCGGGTCTGACCGGTCAGGCAATTAAAGAGGGTCCTGAAGGGGGGGTCCCAATCCCATTTCCCCACCTGAAATTTTGGCAAAATCCCAGTCTCAGTTGGATTTTTATTAGAAATCCCAGTCCCAGTTATTGAAATCCCAGTCAATAAAAAACTCTTTATTTATCAGTAGAATAAACAGTTTTAAGACTTTTAAGCAAGTGGTGGACATTTTATGAAATAATAGGGGGGTGTTCGTGCCGAAGGCACGGAAAATTTTTAAATTTGAATCCCGGAAATGGCATTTGCAGCATTCTGAGACACGCATAGTCAGAAAACCCTGAATTCCGGGCGCCAGAGTATGCCTGTTCGCAGGTAGTGTTGTGAATAATATAGTTAACAACAAAAATCATGACCAAAGACACCAA